TAGATTATTGGCCACTCTGGGTCTCAGTTCGGAACCTAAGATAAAATCCTGGCCTAGTAACTGGGGCTGTGCTCCCTCCCAGCTTCTCCTGTTTGCAGACAGAGAAGCTGAAAGACCTTGGCAGCCACGTAAACATCACTTTTTATCAGCTTTCTTCTGAGCACAAATCCAAAACACAGCCTCTTGCTAGCTATTAGACCAAAGTTAACTCTGTCTCACCTTAACCCAGGACCGTATGTACAGTGCAAAATATATTCTCTTTAAAGTATCACAAAACCCAGCGCTTCTATTCACATGTCTGCATTCCAGTGCTTTTGAGGTTATTACAGGTGCTTCTCTCTTCAGCAGTGAAGTCTGAAACTGCGTTCACACAAAGCTCCTATGAGTTTTGAGTGCAGAAAGTTTGTACGGTGCACAGGTTTGAATAAGTCAGCCACACATACCCGTCAGTAGCTTTTTAAACGTCTGTCACCAGAAACAACGTCAGTGGTGGCAAAAGCAGCTGTAAGAGAGTGTTGTGCAAGTTCTTTAACAGAGAATGAAGTGGTTGGTTTCCTTTGGTGTTGAAAATGGCTCAGCCTGTTTTTGTGGTGTTCTACTGTGGGTGGGTTGTGTTTGTTGGGGTTTTTTTTTTTAACCACTTACAAATTCTAAGGAGGGTGAATTACTGGCCTGGGGGCTATGTTGGTCTGTTGGTAGCCTTCTTCTGTAGACTCGGGCATTGAGCTCTTGCTTTCATGGAACCATACTCATTTGCATCGTAATTGACTATAAATTGCAGAATTGGAAAGTAAGCAAGCCACTCTAACTAAAAAATAAGGAAATAGCATCTGGTGTGATTCAGACACTTCATAATGTAACACTGACTTAGTGTACCAAGTAGTAACGCTTTATTAGTTCAGCTTTACAGACATTCCATGTTGAAATGTATAAATGAGAAGAATAATGTCACTGTGTGCAGGTGATCAAGGTCATCTTGTACCTTTAACAGCTCACCTGGTTAAAAAAAAAAAAAGGCAAACCTTTGCAAGTGCTGTAGGTGAAATTGAGTTTTACTTTTTTTCCCCCTTTCTTTGTAGACACTGAAGAGTGGTGAAGTTCAAGAGCAGTGGCTAACAGACCTCCATTATTGTTTCAACATCTACCTTGCCTCTCATCACCAGGGACCTGGTCCTATAAACACGGTATATTAAAGAGGTCGAACTGCATTTATTGTAAAGCATTTACTTCTATTTAGTTTTGAATGGAAGATGTTGGAACAAAGCTCGTCAATTTTTTTGTAAGTGAAACAGAATAAAAATTTTACAAAGAACTGCATACCTCTGTTGCCTTTCTTTTCAAGAAAGTAACATGACTGGAAGTTGTTTTAGGAGACACGGTGACCACAGTGAAGGGTGCTAAGCTTCAAGGAGACTGGATTTTCTTTTAAGTGCTTGCAGAGAAGCAGACTTATGTTGACTCCAATCAGCTATTATTTCAGAGTATCATATTAATTTAAAATTCAGAATTATGTAAAACTAGCTAGAAGAAAAAATCGAAAACAATATACTTTGAAACTAGAATAACTTTTTTTATTTTTGCTGAGTTCATATTTTTAAATACTTTATGCAAAGTAAATACTGTACACTGGCAGCTACAAAGCCATTATAAGAACAAGTTTTCTTCTAGAACAGGTCCCATCTTTTCTTGCTTTCTCTAGAAACTATTTTGTGCACGTATAAAAATACAGTTATTAATATGGAAAAATTGGTGATATCTATGGGTAGAAAACACACCCCTAACGCTTTCCATAGGCTGTGGAAAGCCATTTATTTAGAGAGTGGTTTTTTGTCAACATTTTTAGTTTCCTTCCAAATCCAAGCTAGCTATGAAACAATTGTTTCTTTGGTACAGAAGTGGAGCATGAAGGCTGTATGTCCGTTCCTGTTTAGATTTTGAAATACATTTAACAAATGTGAGGTGAAATCAAACAGCAGTCTTTTAGAACTGTTAAATCTTTGGTACAATTACCCTCTCCTTTGAAACTGCATTTGATGAACACATTCAAAATTCCTACTTTTGACAATGGAAGACTGGGGTAGCCCCTGCAACTCTGTTGTGATGCTGGGCATAGCACTTCATTTGCTGTTTCCAAATGGAATTGAGATTTCATCCTTCAGTATATAAATTAACAGTTGCATTTAAAAACTAATTTGTATACAAAATAAAATGAGTCCAACTCCTTAGAAGTCTGCTTGGCCTGCAATGCCCAGTTAATACAAAATTGAAAATGTTTTTAAAATATGTTGTAGATGACTCGTACATTATGAAAGGTAACAGTTGTATCAGAATGTGCTCTCCAGATTCTAAACACTCAGTTGTGGTTAGTGCTTGAGTCTTGCATTTTTTGATTTTGCAGCAGTGGTTGGTCTCATGTTGTATGAAAATTGCTTTGATTTTCCCATGTTCTCCAGCAAATTAACACACTGTAGGTTGTTTACTGTAAAAGAACAAAATGGTTTTGATGAGTAACTCTAGTGTATAAAAAGAAGTTTAATCTACACTGGGTTCTAGATTTCATAAACAATGAGTCTACCAGGAGAACAACACACCCTTTTCCTTCCATCTCAGTGTTGATTATCTGTTAATAGAGTTTGGTTTTCTGTGGCACCCCATACTGCTTACACAGAATGCTACTGCACGTGTTTAGCCCAGCCTATACTAATGGAGCTTAACTTGAGATTTACCCTCATAAATGAATTAAGGTTTCCAAGCTGGCAGTTCAGTCGCTAGCACAATGCTCTTGGCGGAGTTTGCTGAAGAGCAGCAAGAGATTTTGGTGAGCAATACTTAGCAACATTAGGTTCTGGGTCATTTCTGGAAGGTAGGGGAAGCTAGTCCAGGGCTGAAGTGAGTACTCTCTGAATTATTAGAAAGCAAAAATGAACATCAGCTGGTCATTTTCTTCAGGTTGGAGTCTGGCTGAAGGTCTAGACTCATTTGATGTTTTTATTTATTGTAATGTGCTGCAAACAATAGGTGTGTTTTCCTGTCCCAGTTTTACAGAGATTGGATGTGAACATTTCAGTGCAGATTTGTCACTACATGCTTTTTCTGCTACCTCTATGAACATTAAAACTGGGGCTGTCAGTCAGTCTTCACCTTCCCAGATGTAGCTTCTACAAGAGAAGAATCAAAGTGAACAGTCCATTCTGACCTACTCCAGGCACCTACGTCAGAAATAAGAGTATCTGGCATTAGCCACTGACAGCTCTGAACTTTTCCAACAAACGTAATGTTGTCATGCACAAAGGCAGCCAGATGAAAAACATGTTATTGTCTTTAAGTAAGGGCTAAAGTTCCCTGAGCTCCTATTAGGTGAATAAAAGTAGGTAGTGTTCTAAAGGAACTGGGCACAGTTCCTATCGCTATCCTATTCGTCACCAAGTTATGAAAGCAAAGGATACTCAAACCTCAAAAGAAAGCCTTTTTATTTTAGAAGACAGGGAGATCTGTTGTCCTGAAAACTTAAGCGAAAAGAAGCATTATTTTCTAAAGCTCTTTTAAAATTTAGATTAATGTCTGCATGAAGAGGTGGCAATCAAACACCTGTCTGGTCAGGCCTCTTAATTAAAACAGTTTTCAAACAGTGAAAGAAAAAAGCCTCTGTCTGTTAGTAAGGCAGAAACTCACCTACAGCGCTAACAAACTCAAGGATAGGACTACTGTCAGATTTCCTTAAAAATGGCATTTAGTAAAGAAGTAGTAAGAGAGATGACCATGTACTCCATTTTTAAGATACCTGTCAATGCCACATGCATAGAAGTTCTACCCTTTATTGACCTTGATAATACTTTTACAATCTCTCTTCTTCAATGCTGTTCTGTATTATGCAGTGTAGCCCTAAATGTCCTGTGCGGTGTGACAGTCCTGATCATGCCAATCCCACTGCCCCAGTAACAGTTCCATACATAAAATTTCAGTTACAAATAGAACTAAGGCTTTCCCAGGGAAGACCTGGCAATGACTACATGGCTTCTGAGTGAAGCAGCAAATAAGTGCATTAGTTCATTAGAGCCTTAAAACGTACTGCAAGTAAAATTCTATGAATTGATTGAGGCTCTGAGCACAGCACAGGAACCCCGTTATGCCGTTTGAGAAGAAAGGGCAGAGATCAGATGAGTCACATTGGATTTTCAAGTTTTTGTCTATGCACTAAACCATGTATTTCTAACAAACAGGTGTGTAAATTCTTGGCACATGTAGAAATCTGCTCTCTCTACTTCTAGAGGACTAGTAAAT